CTGCAGTTCCTGAGACTGGGTAATAAATAAATGTCAGGGAACGGCTGGGTTAAAATTCCTAGCCAAATAAGGTAACTGACCAAGGCCCGCCAGATAAGACCCCAGCTCCCAACCACCAATTAGAGACTTTCGCCGTTTTTTTAACTTAGCAACCTGGCTAATAGCTAACTGCCACATCTGCTTCTGTAACCCCGCATTCGCTTGCTCTGCCCTATAAGAACCCCGTAGTCTGTGAGCCAGGCGCGACTCTCATCTGCAGCCCTTTTGGGCACCGTGTCTCTGGACACCCCGAGGGTTCGCCCCTGCGCAGGTAAAGCTTGGCCACCAAATTTATAATTAGACTATTATTTTGTAATCAATAAAATTAGAGATCTTTGAAACCTATCTTCATCTCCGAGAGCGTGCATTGACTCATCTGTTGCCTACAACAGACAACACCAACCTTGGGCCAGTCACAACCTCTCCCTCACCTTCCTTCCACACCCCAACAAAGTCCCCATCTCCTGAATGAGCAGGGAGAGCTGTTGCTACTGGGGCTTGCCTGCCACACGTGAGCCTGCAGAGGCTGACAACTACATTATGATTTTGTGAATCAGAAAACGAAGACAAGGACAGATTCTCGAAACACCTCCTTTAAGGGGCGGAAGGTAGTCACACAACCTCCAAAGAAACAGGCAGAAACTTTTGGGCAATTTCATTTAAGAAAATACAAAACGAGGACTTTTCAAAATATTCCATGGATTCAGAAGCCAGGTCACTGATGGAATTAGAGGGGAGACTAAATTCAGGAGAAACAGGAGGTGAAAACCTCGCAGCTGCCCTCCGAAAGAAAAATCGGGAAACGTCCTGCACGGCCAGCCACTTCCGGCCGCTGACTACCGGATGGGAAAGCCACGTGGTCCGGGATGGCGAGTGGAGAGGTGGGCTGCCCTGTGCTCTCTGACCTGGATGAGAAACGCCTTCAGCTCAGCGGGGAGGGAGGAGCAGACTGCGGGCCCCCTCGGCCTTAGGGAGGCAGCTCAGCCCCTCCCCTCTGCGCAGAAACTGCGCAGAAGCTGCGCAGACTCCGCCCGTTAGCCGGTCGGGGTGAGCACGTTGGCGTGAGCTGCACAGACGGAAGGAACCCGGTTCTGGGGTGGGGCGAAGTGGGGGCGACCGAGACTGGGGTGCGGACTGGGGTGAACCGGCACTGGCGTCTGCCGTGGTGGGTGAAGGAGGTGAGGAGGATAACAGGCCCTGTCAGAGCGGTTTGGGGGCTGCGGGAGAAACAAAGGTACTCACCGGATTTTTTGGAATAGATTTTCGGGCGGCAGAGCGGGTAATTTAGTGGTTCGGAGGAGCAGGCCGTACGGGGAGGGCCAGTTGCACCTATGGGTGTGGAGGGGACATGACGTGTGCCGCTCGCCTGGCCCAGGTCAGAGGCAGGTGCGGGCAAATCCTCGGACTCCACGTGAGGACCCGCCGCGTGTCAAGGCCTCTGTTCATGGCTGTTCCGGTTTCTTTCTCGATGTGCTTCCCAATTTAAGGTTTTGTATGTGTATCTGATTACGTAATTGAAGTTTAAATATTTACTGATATTTTCATAGGTGCGTATGTTCCCTTTTCACTCGGCAACAAACTGGAATTTGGTGAAATCATGTTGTTTTTGGTGTTTCAAGGACTCCAGAGTGAATTTGTACATTAGACACATTTTGAGTGTGAAGAAAAAATCAGCAGACCTACAATTAAACAATCCAAATAAGGATGATGCATCACCAAGCAAATCTCCTATAAGAAGCAGACTCTGACAGGGAGAACTTGAAACTATCTATCTAGACGTAGAGGCAAACCCCACAGCGTCCAAACCCACGAGACTGGCCCCACTGCAGAAGCCAGTCCCAAGTCCAGGTTGTTACCTGTACTTCTCATCCACTAGCTATTAATTAGAGGTTCCCACGACCCCCTCTTTGGGTTCCAGTAATTTGGTAGTGGGGCTCACTGAACTCCAGTGTTTACTTAGGTTTACCACCTTTGGTATAAAGGGTGGAGATGACAAGCCAGATGAAGAGGCACAAAGGGGGAGATCTGGAAATGTATTGAGGACAGGACCTTCTATCCTTGTGAAACTGGAATGTGTGCCACCCTCCCAGCATTTGGATGTGCTCCCCAACACAGAAACTCTTCAATTCTCCATCAATAGTTTTTACTGTTTTCACAGAACTTAATCTCCAGCCCCCAAAATTCAGTGGGTTGGCTGAAAGTTCTAATCTTCTCATCAATTGGTCTTTCTGGTGACCAGGCTCCTATGTGTCTATCGTGGCCCATGCTGTCACATCATTAGTATAAACTCAAATGTTCTAAAAGAGGGCTCCTAATAACAACTAGAATACACCACTATCACTCAGGAAACTTCAAGGGCTTTAGGATCTGTGTGCCAGGAATTAGGGACAAAGACCAAGTATATTTCTTGTTATACCAAGAAAGAATTTACAGAAGAAAATTGGAAATACTATTCAGAAATTTTTAAGTTTTGTGCCGCACATATTCTTATTGTTTAAAACCAGATGTCCCAAGAGGTTTATTTAAGTTTATGTGTATGCTGACAGCAAACTGAAAGGGAAGGGGAATGTAATTTTCCTTGTTCCACTGGTCCCTGACAGAATGGGGGATCAAAGAACCCCCCCCCCAATGGTACAAGTAGTCTGAGATCAACCTTGACTCCAACCCACAAAATGTAGAAGCAGATGGAATTTTAATGCCTGCCTTGGTCTTTCCTCAATCTGAGTTTATCTCAGTTTGGGAAATTTGTTGAGTGTAGGTGTGAATTGAGAACAAGGAAGAAGATGATGAATTTGAGTGGAGGAGAAAAGTGACTAGTTTGAAACCATTGTGAGGAAGAAAAAAGATGGAATGGCTCTGAGAGCATTTAGATGAAGGGAGGAAAAGATGAGGCTTAAAGAAGAGAGCAAGAGAACTGCTTGGCTAGAACAAACTAGAGAATTACTGAAATAGAATTTGAAAACTAAATCTTTGGAGGAAAAGCATTTAAAAAGGATTTTATTTATTTGCTTTTAGATAGAGGGGAAGGGAAGGAGAAAGAGAGGGAAACCTCAATGTGTAGTTGCCTCTCACTCATCCCCCAACCAGGGTTCTGGACCAAAACTCAGGCATATGCCCTGGCCAGAATGGAACCTTTGGTTTGCAGGAAAGGCCCAACTCACTGAACCACACCACTCAGGGCAAAAAGCAAAAAAAAACCCAAAACCCTTTTTTAAATCAAAGAATATGTTAAGAACCCATTATAGGAGAGAGAATATTATAATGAACCCAGGTGTGAAGAACCCAGGGGCTATAATTATAAATCTTTTGCCAGTCCTTACCTACAATCCTACCGAGTTCTTGCCATTTTTGTGAAACAAATCCAAAGACATCACAAGAGTTCACTTGTAAACTTTTTATTATACTTTCCAAAAGAAACAATTTACAAAGTTCTAATACCATTCAGTAGCTCAATCTAACATAATTGTCATTCTTTTTTTTATCCACAGATATCCAACTTCCATATTAAAATTTGATCAGGTATTTCAAGATGGGATATAATTAGGCTTATACATTGTAATCGGTTAGTATGTACTTTATACCTACTTTAATTCCTGTCTTCTCTCTCCGTAGGTTTTTTTATCTTCTTTTTACTTTTGTGTCAGGGAACATGGTTGAATTTTGAGTAGAGTTTATCACAGTCTGTATTTTACTAATTCCTTGCTCAGTGTGATATTAGAGGTTTACCAGAGAAAAAGAAATAGTATATCTCTGGAAAGAAATTTATTTACAAGTATTGTCTCACATAGTTAAGGAGACAGAAATCACATGATCTTCACTCTGCAAGTGGGAGACTGGAAAGACAGTGGTGTAGTTGGAAGGCCTGACAGTCTGAAAATAAATGGTACAGATTCCAGTCTGGGTCTGAAGGGTTGAGAACCAGGAGCATGCAGGATGGTGGATGTGCTAGCTTATTCAGTCCAGCAGAGAGTGAATTTAATGTTACCCCCAGTTTTGTTCCTTTCAAGCCCTCAGTGGACTGGATGATGCCCACTACATTGAGGAGGGCCTAATGCTTTGTTCATCCACCAATTTAAATATTAGTCTCTCCCAGAAGTCCTCTCACAGGCACACCCAGAAGTAGTGTTTCACCAGCTATGTGGGACTTTTCAGTGGCCCGATCAAGTTGACATGTAAAATTAACCAGGTGGTCCTTCACATGTTACTCCATTCTTTATATTTCCTGTAAGTAGGTTGGTAGGCCTCTGTTTGATGAGATTTAGGTTCATTTTTCTAGCAAAACATCTTTATAAATAGTGTTATTTTCTCCCTTCAACAGTTCTAATATCCGTCACTCTTTTTGTGAGAGTTAAGGCCAATGATAAATTCACCTAGATGGATTAATTCTTTTAGAGTTGCAAATTAGATGATAATCTTCACTGCTAACTCTTCCTCCTTAAATATTGTCATGATATTGTTTTGGTCTGAGGTACTTTTTGTTTTAATTTTTAAATTTTTTGATTGATTTTAGAGAGAGAGGAAGAGAAGAGAGAAAGAGATGAATTTGTTGTTTCGCTTACTCATACATTCATTGGTTGTTTCTTGTATGTGCCCTGACCAGGGATCAAACCTACAACTTTGGTGTACCTGGATGATGCTGTAACCAGCTGAGCCACGCAGCTAGGACTCTGAGGTACTTTTTCAAACAGGGATGGAAGGATTAATGCTGATTGAACTGTCCTCTAAATGATAATATTTTTTGCCCACAGAAAGCACATATGACTTGGATTGTCCTGGGTTTTTGCCTATGAGGAGACCAGATGATCTACAATTGGAAAAAAGGCATTAAATAAGGAGAGGGTGACAAGAAAGCTGGACATCTGCTGGTGGCTAGGACTTTTCTTAGAAGCTCCCACCACCTTCCACAGTTAGCAACAACTGAGAAAACGTCAGCTTCTCACTATTCCTAGTTCCTAGAGCATACTAACTGCTGAGAGTTTCTTCAGACAGAAACTTGCACTGCACAATGGACTTTGCAGCCTCCCTCGTTGAACTCCAAGCAGAGGCCAGCTGCCCCCTCTGCTTGGATTACCTGAGAGACCCAGTGACCACTGAGTGTGGACATAATTTCTGTCGCTCCTGCATCCACCAGCGCTGGGAAGATCTCCAGGACATCTTTCCCTGTCCTATCTGCCTCCACCACTGCCCTGACATGAACTTCAAGAAGAACACTCAATTATGTCACATAACTGATATTGTTAAGCAGATTCCCACCATAGGGAGGGAGAGAGAACTGCAGGAAGAAAAACTCCTATGTATGAAGCATCATGAGGTTCTGACTCTGTTCTGTGAGGAGGACCTGGAGCTCTTGTGTCCCCAGTGCAGTGTCTCATCAGACTACGAGGATCATCTCCTGATACCCATTGAGGAAGCTGCAGCTATCTACAGAAAGAGGCTCAAAAATTATCTTGAGGCACTGACAGTGGAGGTTGAAGATGCTGAAACGGGATTTGAAAACCAAGTGGCAAATATTTTCGAAGTGCAGAAAAAGATGGAGAGTTGCAGGAGAGAATTACTGTATGAATGTAAAGAATTTAAGAATTCGTTGAAAGGAGAGCAAGATGAAATCAATGCCAGTCTACTTGTGGAAGAGAAAGATATTAAAGAAAAACTAACTGAAAATAGAGAGCAAATTTCAAACCATATGCTCATGCTAAATAATCTGTTACTTGAAATAGCAGGGAAGTATTTCCAAACAGACCTGGATTTACTTACAGATATTGAAAGTATCCATAAGAGGTATGAAAATTTAGCAACCCCAGCAGTCTTTTCATATGAATTAAAGGAGGAGATTTGCATCCTCCCTCCACATTATTTTGGCCTCCATAAAATGATCAGCACATTTCAGGTAGATTTGACCCTGGATCCTGAAACTGCCCACCCAAGTCTCATTATCTCAAGAGATAGAAAAAGTATGACATATAAGGCACCGAGTGGTCTTCATGATCCCCAGGTACGCACTTCTTACCCAGCAGTCCTCAGTTCTGAGGCATTTGATGCTGGCAGGCACTATTGGCAGGTAGACATAGGAGGCACAGGTGAATGGTCTTTAGGTATATGTAAAGAATCTTTCCCTAGAAATGCTTTTATATCACTAGCACCAAACAGTAGGTGCTGGCACATTGAGCTTTGTGCTAGTATATGCGGAACATGCCGTAGAGGACATATCATGCAAGTTGGCATTTTTCTGGACTATGAGTTGGGAGAGATTTCATTTTATAATATGAATAACAGGTCATATTTGTATAAATTCTCTGATACATTTACAGAAAAACTTATGCCTTATTTCTCTAGTGCACCTTCTTCAAAATCTCTTACAGTCAGTATCATCAGAGACAAACGATGAAGAACTTGGAGGACAGTTTTGTATGTGGTTATTTTCTTCCCTTGTTTTTTGAAGCAATAGTTATAATGAAGATTCTGGTACCAGTTTTGATGTTTGACTGTTGAAAGCTTTTGGGACTCATGCTTCTCTGTTTCCCTTAACTCACAGCTGGGAAAGCTGAAAAGAAAGCCCAGGTGCTCCATCCTTTGGTGTAGGTAGGTGGGAAGTTCCAACCAAGCAAGTCCCTAGTAGTGCCAGCACCCTCCCTCCCCCAGCACCCAGTAACCAACATGAACACCACAAGCTACTCCCTTTTCCCGGTGCTCTGAGTTATTTTGGGACATACTCTGAGATTCACCCTACTCTCCCCACAAAACTTCTTAATGTGAGTAATAAACCTTTTAATACACTGCTGGTAGGTGGTGGTGAGTCATTATCAATCTTAACATTTGAAGCAAATTTAACATGAGTCCCCACCCTGACTATGCAACCTGGTCACCACCATTGGCAGTGTGAATAGAATTATCCAGATGTGAAGTGCCTCTAGCTGGGGGGTTCTCTGGCTTCATGTGTAACAGGCTCTGCTTTGCTAGGCAAGGGTGCCCTTTAGCTTTGTGCTGCTTTGCTAAGTTTTCCCCAGGCTTTGTTTACATTTAACTGACCTAAGAAGTCTCAATAAGGATCACATTGTATTTTTTTATTATTTTTTGTATAATTTTGGGGAATTCTAATTATTTTCATTTGTTTGCTATTTTATAAAATCATTTTCATGTATATCCTCCAAATGTCACATACTCATGTTTAACATTATATGAAACTGTTGACCTTTTAGAACATGCCCATGTTTGAAAGCCTGTATGTGTATTGTTCATAGTGTTACAAAATAAAAGTTTTACCTTGTATATCTCTGTGCTTACTATTTATTTATCTTCATAATTGAAAAGATGCTTAGCACAGCTTTCCTTGAGGTGCAAGGGACCCTGGCACTGGTCACAGTAGCCATACCATGCTGTGGTGATCTCAATTGCTTAGCAAGAATAAAACAAGTACTCATTCTTACAAAGTGCGGTGTGGGGCACTGCTGCATTACCCGCTCAGGAATCTAACTCCCTCAGTCATGGGTTGTCACAGCACTGGCTCACTACAACTAGAGAAAGGGAGCGCTAAATTGCACACTGGGCCTCGAAGGCCAACATCAGGAAGAGATACATTTTTTACCCCCACTCTACTTTCTAAAAGTAATTGCAAGCCTCTGTCTGCAAGGGGTGTGGAAGAATGCATGTATTGTGAGGTGAAGAGCTAGTTTGCCATTAATTCCTGATCCAATTAGATATTAGTGAAATTTCCATTAATGATGAATGCTAGATTTAAAAGTCTTGAACTATAACTTGTAAACAGATTTAACAGACATTTACAATATCTAATCCTACAGTGGTTCAGTAAATTCCCACAATAAAGAAGATACTCCCTTTAAGTAAAATAGCCTTACAATATTCTTTATTTGGTAGAATAATAAACTAGTATTATTTTGAAATTTTGGTAATTCATTAAGAAATGAATCATTGAGACTAATGTTTAAACTCAATGAATCCTGGCTGGTGTGGCTCAGTGGATTAAGCACTGGCCTGGTCTCTAGAGGGAGGTGGGCAAGTGGCAAGCAATTGATGTTTCTTTTGTATATGGGTGATTTTCCCCTCTCTTTCACCCTCACTTCCCCTCTGTAAAATAAGAAATTACTTAAATCCATAAGTAAGTAAATAAATAAACTCAGTAGGATGAATGGGGATAAAAATCTCAATTGGGATGGATTTCTGTGGATATATTGGCTAGGAGCTACTTAAAGGACTGTTGTGACATTTGAAAGCCAGCGGTGGAGCTGAGGCATGTTTAGAACAGAGCTCAGGCAGGAAGTTCACACTTGGAATGATCCAACATACGCAAAATTCAGTTGCCATGGTTACTTAAATAGCCCAAGTATGTCACAGGTTTAAATTTTAAACATGGTATACTAACAGTAATTCTCAAAGCAGCCACAAGATGGGCTCAGAGGATGGAGTCTCCAGCCACAGAGGATCACTCCTCAGCGACCATCGCTTACAAGTTCTGCTTTCTACACAACGGTAGTATACCATTTGGCTGTTTTCTGTCACTGTATAACAGAATTATATAGGGCCTCATTAAGTGAACAACAAACCATTTCACACCCTCTTGGTGTGTTTGTGCCACAGTCTTCACACCAGAACCAAATTTTAGTGGCTTAAAGTTTTGCCATGTGGCATGGCCATAATCATAGCACTTAGCATGTTGCACGATTCCTGGGATATTCTGACCCCAGGAAGAATGGTGTATTTGTGTTTGTTTTCCAGCTATTATGAGACAAGCAGTTTCGTCCCTCACTTTCTGATCTTATCTACATTTTATTTGTGATTCCGCACTGCTCTTGGGAAAAATAGGAAAGTCTATTATAAATTCTATACACTTATATTTATATAAAATAAAAGTATCACATCACTGTTTCTTCTGAAAAAAATCTACCACAAATCTCTCTCTTTTTTTTTAAAGTTTGAAGAGGCAGTGAATATTCAAAAACAACTCAAAGCCTGGTGGTGTTGCTAAGTGGATTGTGGGCCAGCCTGGGAACCGTAAAGTCACTGGTTCCATTCCTAGTCAGGGCACATGCCAGGTTGCTGGTCACATCCCCAGTTTGGGGTGTGCAAGAGGTAACTGATCCATGTATCTCTAGCAAATTGGTGTTTCTTTCCCTCTCTTCTACTCTCTTAAAATGCACACACACACACACACACACACAAAATCTAAAAAAATAAAAAGAAAAAATAAAAACAATACATGAAATAAATCTACATAAGAAAATTTGAAAAATATCTCCAGATAGTACTCTTAAAAAGTGTGAAAAAAGCAAAGGCCATACCATATTCATATTGGAAAATCAATAAAGAAAAATTGTTTGTATATTTGTATATGAACACTACATTCCTGAAATTTGCAGAAGAAACATAAAAATCGTAAGGCTGAGAAATAGCCTGGATCCTGATGGTTTGGAGTCAAAAAGCAATTTGGTTTTCAATGTACCCCCTACAATATGGGGTCTGTTATCGAATTTTTAATATAGTTCCTCCTTTAAAAAAATTAACAACACAAGCCTATTAGACATTCACTGAGAAATTACTAGTTATAATGTTATAATGTTGCTGATTGAAAGAAAGCCGTGATCCTATATCCTATTCACAAATTAGACACACACCCACATGGAGGAAGTCTTAAAGCATCTTATCTCGATGTTGTCTGTACTGGCCAGTTCTGGCCTGGGGCGGGGGGTGGGGTGTCTGTTGATGGGACCTTGGCATCTAGACTTCTAACAGCGGCTCACATCTAATCCAAGTTTATAAAAGGTCTGCTGGTGAATAATTAAAGGAGATACCACCCTGGGGTTGATGAGCTCAGAAAGGACACCAGGGTTACAGTTGCACATGGGTTTGTTTTTAACTTCTGTGTGAAATAAAGCCACCAGGAGCAATAGGTAGGTTGGAGCTTCCCACCTACCTGCACCAAAGAATGGAACACCCGGGCTTTCTCTTCAGCTTTCCCAGCTGTGAGTTAAGGGGAGCTGAGAAGCATGAGTCCCAAAAGCTTTCAACAGTCAAACATCAAAACTGGAACCAGAATCTTCGTTATAACTATTGCTTCCAAAAAAACAAAGGAAGAAAATAACCACATACAAAACTGTTCTTCAAGTTTTTCATGATTTGTCTCTGATGATACTGATTCTGTGAGAGTTTTTGAGAGATTTTGAAGAAGGTGCACTAGAGAAATAAGGTATAAGATTTTCAGTAGACATATCAATGAATCTACACAAATATGACCTGTTGATCATATTATAAAATGAAACCTATCCCAACTTGTAGTCCAGAAAACCCAATCACTCGAATAGAGCATAGACAACATGAACTTGTCCAGAGGGGATATTGCCAGCATCTGTTGCTTGGGAATGGTGACTTAAGAGTATTTCTGGGGAAAGATTCTTTACACACACCTAAGAAGTACTTACCTGTGCCTCCTATGTCTACCTGCCAATAGTGCCTGCCAGCATCAAATGCCTCAGAACTGAGGACTGCTGGGTAAGAAGTGCGTACCTGGGGATCATAAAGACCACTCGGTGCCTTATATGTCATACTTTTTCTATCTCTTGAGATAATGAGACTTGGGTGGGCAGTTTCAGGATCCAGGGTCAAATCTACCTGAAATGTGCTGATCATTTTATGCAGGCCAAAA